ATGAGAAATAACATATGGTGTTATTGTTTTCATAAGTAGCTAAGTTAATCTTTTTCTTGAAGCATGTACTACCATTTTTATTTTCTCTAACAAATTAATAATTTGACAAATGCTCATGGTGCTATTGTCTCCAAAGCAGTACATTAATATAAGAAACATGTCCATAAAAAAGACTAGGGTTTCTTATATTAATGCACTGCTTTGGAGACAATAGCACCATTATCATTTGTCAAATTATTAATTTGTTAGAGAAAATAAAAATGGTAGACAATAACACCATATGTCATTTCTCATGCATAGGAATGAGAGGGAAAAATAAAATCGAGGATAGGAATTAGCGGGAAAAAATAGAGGGAAAGTTTTGTTTTTTTTTTTATTTTTCAGTTTTTTAATCATTTTTAAGAGTGAAATAATTTAACTACCCTCACATGTTGTGTACATGGTCTCACTTAACGGAAATATGGATGGAATATATGAAAAACTAACGGTAGGGGGCAAATTGGCTAAAAAAATTAGTTTGAGTCCTTAATTTTCCAATAGAAAAGTTCAGGGGGGAAATCGAAAGTGAGGTGAAAGTTTAGGGGGTAAACTGACAGTTTACTCTTACCATTAGCAAGCAAGAGAGAGTATCATCTGACACTATATATGTTGGTTCGATTAAAGGTTTAATTTCTGGGGACCCGAACCAGAACCAGATAGATTTCTCTTTGAAGAGTAGACATCAATTTAAACCAGAACTTGTAAATTTCTACCACCCATACCAAATGTACAACAACAATTCATGCTCAGTAAGAAAATAACAGAACCTGGTTAAATTTGTAAACAACATCAAATAACGAAAGTGAAAATGAAATTACAGTGGCGGGGTGGGGTATTATTGTAGGACAATTGCCCCTGTGGAGGGAAGGTTGATGAAACAAGACCACCTGCTTGCAGAGAAGGACTAAATTGCGAAGGACACATGGCCCCTCTTAATATATGGATCCCACTATTCATTTTTCAACATTTGAAAAAAAAAACTTCCCTATTTGTAAATAGTGTCTTGGTACAACATTTACTATTTACTACTGCATGCTTAATAGTAAAGTGACCTAGCTATTTATTTACCCACCTCCCCCCTTCAATTTTGAATCCCATTGATTAGGGTATGTAGTTCTTGCTTCTCTGTATTTACAAGTTTGAATTCGTATAAGCAGAAATTTTACTATTCTCTGGTGTATAGCATAATAAAAAATGATGAAAATCTCTCGATATAGATTAGGACCTCACACTAATCTTTTTGTATATGTACTTTACTTGATAATCCAAGGGGAAAAGCTCAGTACAGTCCTCTATGCATGCGAGTAATTCTGAGGCGTACATATTTGCTAGAATATGAACATGCAACACAAAAGCAATTAGTTTCAAGTGATGGTGTTCAATTATGTTTTAAGCCGTCCCAAGGCAAAACTTCCCTTTCAAAAGAGATTTTTCAGTGTGACCGGTATACGAGATGATATACCACCTGTCATTATACAAATGATGAAATATGTGTGCTAAAAAGTCAATAACTTAAAAAAAATAAAAAAATAAAAAATTTCTACCACTCCTATAAAAACACGTGGTGTATCATCCATATTCCCGTCACAAAAAAAAAAATTCTCGTGTAGGGGACGAATCCTAACAGCTAAAACCGTAATCCTAAGTAGTTCAATTTCATCATTGGCTTTGTGCCGCACAAAACGTTGATCAACGTTGATATATCTCACTGATAGTTGGCTAAGATAAAATAACATACGTTCAAATCAAATGATTATAAAAAAAAATAAAATAAAAAAAAACAAAAGTAAACATGCAATCATTTAGTATTAGGGTGTACTATTCATACACCTTATTTTACTTCTTACACACCCCTTAATAATTTTTGTCTGTTGATCTTTTTCAATTCATTCGATTTGACGGCCGAAAATTAAAAATGTGTGTGAGAAGTAAAATGGAATGTGTGGATATCACACCCCTTTAGTATTTCGTCTGATGCTATAACATGCACGGTATTTTTTTTTGCGGAAAAGGATTCTCTCCGGATCTTCTTTGTGGGAATTCGGATGATCAATTAATCGTATTAATTTATTGTACATTGTGCGGTCAATTTTCATTAGGTACTATTTATATTCAATTTTAAATTTTAAATTTTAAATAATTTCTGACCGTACGATGTATGATGAACGAGTATGATTGATTGATTTCTCGGATCTCCACAAAAAAGATCCGAAGATGATCATTTTCATTTTTTTTCACCACCTTGGATCATACAGTGAATATTGTTCTACCAAATCACTAATTAATGCGTGCATATATAATTGTATTTACATGAAATTATAAGCCTTCATTCAAAGGTGGGCAACTATTATTGACAAGTAGAATCAAATCCAATTTCCAGTTCTAGGAAACAGTTCGAACAGGTAGAGTCCAAAACTATCACACGCCCCATCCCGTCCCCAATGCAGTAAAGGAAAAAGTAGATCGCACAGTCACTTGTCACACCCATTAAATTATATATATATATATTCTATATTTATCATTCAAAGGCTCATCAATCTCTCGACCAGATTTTGTCACCAAACATGTATTTGGAAAGAATGAAGATGAAACCCTACTCTGAAAAGGCATCTAGTCATCAAGGCCAAATGGGTTTTTTCGTACGTGCATAATGCATGCATGTGTGAGAGAGAAACAGGACGTTGATGTTTCACCCGAAACTAAACTAACAATGTATATGTAGCGAGTAACACAACTTCATATAAGAACATGCAAAGTTTGGTAAATTAACTTTCGACGTGAGACTTCTTTTCACATTCTCACACACTTTCTTCACCTGTAACGAGTTCCAAAGCCTTATATGTGGGTTGCACAAGAGTGACACCAAAATGTGTGTGACAATGAGATCTAATACCACAAAAGAAGTTGAAATTCTAGCATAAACCAATTGGTCATATGAGAGTAACTATACTTCTAAAAAACACATGCGAAATTTGGTAAACTTCCAATACAAGACATTTCTTCTTATTGGCGAGAGTTACTACAAAAGGAGGGGTGGTGGTGAATGTAACCAGAAGGCATGGACGGAGGGAGGTAAGGCCTATTGGGGGCACATGCCCCCTCTCATCCTATTTTGTTTGCATTAGAAATTATTCAATTAATCATTCCTATTTTTTATGTTTTACAAATTATTCAATTAATCATATTAAAATAATGAAAATCCTCTTTTGGTTTTTAAATGCCCCTCCTTCCTTTCTGTATATTTTTCTCATGCACTAATGTCTAAACCTTATTGAATTGCATATATTTGGTTAGTTAGTACAAATGAGCATTGGATTGTCAATACATCAATTAAAGACAAAATTAAACAATAGAGTAATAAAATTAGGCATTTTGTAACTAATTTTTTCAGCATTTGTAAAAGAACTAGCTTTATTTGTCCAAAAAAAAAGGGATCAAATTTTTTAAGATGCCCCCTCTTAGTTAAATTTCTGACTTCGTCCCTACCAGGAGAGCATGGGGGACTAAGACAGAAACTACGTATCTGTCACTTTCCTTGTTCATCAAAGAGTTTATACAAGAAGAAAAGTTGCAGAGAACCTCACGTGGGAAAGGGAGTCCTTTGTGCAGGTACACATTTTTACACCACAAATTATTTTTTTCCATTTCACCGGTATATTTTGAGAATGGATCGAGATGCTTTATTGCTTTTAGGTAAAATTCAAGATGTCATGTTCAATCATGTACGTTCATCTGATATACATGTGTGTGTGTATATGTATAATATATTGTTGGTTGAGCTTTGAAGCGCAAGCATGCAGCTTTCTGCACACATCATTCTCAAAGGGCCCATTTTTATCTCTGGTCTGTTTGAAAAATTCGTTGTCAATTTAAATGCTTAAATGGTCTTTTAATTTTGATTAAGTTCTTACTAATTGGAGCACAAGCTAAGAAGGATTGTCCAATCTCTCCCTCTCTCCTTCTCTTGAAAATTCATTTTTGATTCTCGTCTTCTTTTTTTAATTACAAAGAATATGCTTTGATTCCAACATTGAGTTGCTTGCAAGATTGTAATTGATATGTCTTATTTCTCTATTTTTTTTTAAATGTTTATCTCTGCCAACTTTTTATGATACTTGTTAACTCTCGTATACATTATACATAGTTCAACTAATTACTCAATTATTTGTTGATTCCTTTTTTGTCAGACTGTTGTGTGACTACTGTATACGATTTTGTTTTATCTAGCAAACAGAATTGAAAAAAAAAAAAAACAATTGCCCCTTCTTGGTAGGATGGCATTTTTAAAGTAGGTTTAAAGTTGGCTTTTCTACTTTTTTTCTTTTCAAAGACAAAATCTCATTTAAACTTGTGGAATAAAAAAAACATAAGGATAAAAGGCTGGTTTGAAATTGCATTTGTAAGAAGCAATTATGCTCATAAGTGTTTATTTGCATAAGTGCTTTTATTAGAAACACGTTAAAATTTTTATTAAAATTCCAAGTGTTTGCTTTATGAACAAACAACCGAAAGTGCTTCATGAAAAAATATTTGACGAATGCTTCTTGAAAATAATTTGACATGTGCTTTTTATGCTTGTTTGGAACTTAGAAGTATTTATGAAATTAATTCTTAGTAAAAATACGAGTGAATCTTGGAAAAACAATTGAAGTGCTCCCTGTAAAAAAAATACATAATTGTGCTTCTTCCAAAATGCATTTCAAGAATTTTTTAGAACTCGAAATATTTTCACAAAAAAACGATTTCAATTATTTTAAAATCAATTTCAAACAAATAGCTTACATTTTTTTCAGCTAAGCTGTCAAGGCAATAAAAAACGATTTCAAGCATTCCAGAGCAAATCACAAGTATATTCAAGCTTTAAGTATGGGCCAAAATGTGGGCCAAACTTTGGGCCTTCACCGTCCCACCCAAAAGCATAAACCCAATCCCACCCAACCCAACCCAAAGGATTCTCCTTCGCCGGACGGACTCTATTTGCAGACTCCCTTCCTTTTCTTCTTCGTTCAATTTCACTCTCTCTTACTCTCAGCAAATCGCCATGGCTGTGGCTTTGAAGCTCCTGAAGCTACTCCGACCACTGCAGACCACCTCCACAATCCTCCACCGCAATCTCAGCCCACAGCTCTCGAGCATTCGCAGTGTAACCAGAGTCTTCTCAGACTCTCCTCTTCTAACCGAGCCCCTCCCGGCTTCACCGCCGCTAAACCCTCATTTTCCTTCCCCGTCGTCCCTGAACCAGTACGAGCTTGCCAAGTTCGCCTCCATTGCCGAAACCTGGTGAGAGCTTCTCCCTTTTAGCATACAAGGTTCAATTTTTGCACTTGAATTTGATTTAGCTGTGGTATGATTGTGAATTCATGACCAATGAGAAAGAAATTTACTCGTTAGATTAAAGCTATTGGATTTTTCAGGTGGGATTCTGAAGGGCCGTTCAAACCATTGCATCTGCTGAATTCTACAAGGCTTGCTTTCATTCGCTCCACGCTTTGCCGACATTTCGGGTAAATAGGTTTTCTTGGTGCAGTTTTAGGGATTAGTAATGTTGCCAAATTCGTAGCTGCCGAGTAATTAAGAAAGTAGATTGCTTTGGTGCCTGGCATTGTCTGCGGAAGTGAAATTCGTAAAAGGAACGATACTTTACTAACATTTTTCAAAAGCTAAATGATGATTCCGAGTATTATGTTTTGTGTTTCTGATGTTCAGGAGGGATCCGTTATCTCCTAGGCCATTCGATGGCCTCAAATTTATCGATGTTGGCTGTGGTGGTGGAATTGTTTCTGAGGTATGTTATCGTGCACCTTCCCAGGTGCATTCACTCCTCTTCACTGCACATGAACACCATGTTTATATAATTGTACCTCCTACCTGTGGTGTGCTGATTCCCAGGTGCATTGACTACTCTTCACTGCACATGAACTCCGTGTTTATATAATTTTACCTCCTACCTGTGGTGTGCTGATTCCCTATTAATATGTTCCGCATTGTACTCACTCAACATTTTGAATCCTCTTTCAGTTATGTTTAATTTAACTGATAGCTTTACCTAGCAATTGTTTTTGGTCAAGGGGTCATGTTAATATAATAATCTATAGCCTTTTTCAGCCTTTAGCTCGAATGGGAGCTACTGTGACAGGAGTTGATGCGGTTGAGAAAAATATCAAGATAGCACGTGTTCACGCTGTATGACCACTCTCTTGAACAATGGCAATTAATTTTTTTTTTTATTAAGTATTTGTGCATGTGCAAGTACTTTGTTTCATAAAGTGTCTTAACATGCTTCTAAACATTACTCATTCACACAGGATTTGGATCCAGTGACCTCGAGAATTGAATACCAATACACTACAGCTGGTATGCGCTAAATTTGTTCTTATTCAGTGTAGTCAAGTTTGTGGTAATGGATTCAATTAGTATTTGATCTTTCATGCATCTCTTTAGAATGCATGGGTTTCCACCCTAAATGAACACATTGAATGGCTCACTATGATCGTTGATGGCATAAGTTAGGAAAACTTTACTTGGTTGCATCCACTGCATTCAAAACCTGTTAAATACAATGAGTGATACCCAGCTGATAGCCACTTAAAATGTGTTTTCTTTCTGAGACATTCCTGCATGATATAAATGGTATTTTGATTCTTTCAGTATCCTATTTGGAATCTTTGCCCCATGCAATTTACGTTTTTGTGGTGGTATCAGTAAATGTTGTTGATCCTCCAAGACATTTGACCTGTACTAGCAAATTGTGTTGTTGTGAGTTTTGTTATTTAGAAAGTGCTATTATTTCAGTGCTGAAGATCGTTTGGGTTTTTTTTTTTTAATCTCAAGTAATCGTACTTTTCTTAATTGTGTTCTTCCAATTATAATATAAACAGAAAAGCTAGTTGAGGAACAGAAGAATTTTGATGCTGTTTTTGCTTTAGAGGTAAAAACTGCCTGTATGATTGTCTCTTTCTTCAGTGTTCTTAACTAATTTGGTTGTAAATTGATGATTTTACTCAAGGTAATTGAGCATGTAGCCGACCCTACCGAATTCTGCAAATCTCTATCAGCATTAACTGTCCCCGGTGGAGCAACTGTTATTTCAACCATTAACCGTTCTATGAGAGCGTATGCTACTGCCATTTTTGCAGCAGAGTATATCCTCCAATGGGTATAATTCATTATTACCTCCTGCTTTTGATTATGTGTTTTTGATCTACCATGCAACATCTGTTGCTTTGCTGCAATTTTGCCTTCTTTCTTTAACTTGGTTGTTTTTGTTGCATTCATGTTTGAAATTCTAAAAGACCTGATTGGTTTATATGTGAGTGATATGATTCCTGTTTTATTAGAACTATCCAACTGATATTGGTATATGATATTGCATATAAACTTTAGAAATTGTTGTCAATGAAACGATGCTGGGTTTCAAAATCTAAAGTATGTTTAAGTGCACTAAGATTTCTGGAAACATATCCTGAAGCTATACTAAAATTCCATATTATATCGTTGTGATTACAATTGTTACAATTCTAAGGGAATTAACTCTTATTCAATTCAACGTGTACCTCTAAAATAATTCGCTATGGAGGTGGAAGGATTTCTGTATTCTTCAGCATTTTTCTTTGAAAAATAGTTTGATCAAGTCATATTTACTCAAGTCTATTCATCATCTGTTGATAATATTTTGACTTGAACCAAATCGATTGTTTTACAGCTTCCTAAAGGTACACATCAATGGTCCAGTTTTCTCGCTCCCGAAGAACTAGCCCTGATCCTGGAGCGTGCTTCTATTTCAGTAAGCCGTAACAACTATTTCCGCCCTAGGAACTTCTGCTATTTTTACCCATGCACTTGTCGCTAACGCTTGTTTTCTGTTTGGTTGGTTTTGTGCAGGTCCAAGAGATGGCTGGGTGCGAGTACGACCCTTTGTCAGGTAGATGGTCTTTATCCGACGATGTTAGTGTAAATTTTATTGCTTATGGTGCTAAAACAATAACATCCAATTTATAATGTTAAGGAAAAAGTAATTTCCATGCTCCCCCCCTTCTTGCTTGAATGAAAATTTTGTTCTTCTTCCTAGTCTCCATTGTTTCTAATTTCTTTTTGATCTGCATCTATGGGAAAGGAAATTCCGCCATACACACAAGCATTGTCATACGTTTGCAAGGTCGTGCACAAAAGTACATGAAACGGGATGTCAAAATAGCACATGACATTGTATAATTAGTTTGACACATTGCTACTTTTGATGTTCCCGTTTTAGATACTCTTGTGTGCAACCTTAGAAAATCTGTACCGTAATACAATACTTGTGTGTATGATGGATTTCGGAAATTTGTTTCATGTACTATTGTGCGCGACTTTAACTTCCTCAAATTACATTGTGTAGTTGGTCTTGAATGCTATAATAACACATCTCCCGGTGTAGAGAAGTCATTGTCGAAATCTGTCACCGTAATAGTAATAACTCAAGATTCAAGAATAATACGGTCAATTTATTTTAAACCATGGCATAAAATTCATTAATTTCATTCCATTTCCACATTTGTACTTACCCCAAACACGCCCTAAAGCCGATCAAATTTTATTGGAAACCAAAAGTATCTATCAACAGTCATTACGTCATCGTATACATAGTCAATACGTCGTCGTATATTATCCAGGTCCAGTGTTCCCACCATCTAATTTTCAGAAATCATTGAGCTTCCCGAGACGGATTAAAACAGACCGCGGGACCCACTTATCATCCTTCGCGCCATCGCATTCACTTCCCAAAATCAACCGTTCCGACCGTTAACATGAAACCTCGAGTTAATCACTGCCGTTGATTTCAGATTAACTATTTGCTTGCCGCACACGTCGCCCTGCTTTTACCAATCATTTGAATTCCTAATTTGCTTGCTAATTAACTGTTTATTCACCCAATCAAAATTATTAACTGTTTTTTAAATAATAAGATTTATTAATATATATATATATATATATATATATATATAAATAAATAAATAAAAGCAGGAAGAAGAAGAGACGTCTCTCTTTATTAGGCTCTCTACAAATTCTATCAGCTCTCCTCTACCATTTTTTCTCAAATCTTTCTCTCTCTAGAAATTCATCGATCAAAATCTGAAATTTGTCACAGAAGTTTGAAAATTCAAGGTACTGAAATGTCGAGGGTGATGGAATTGCCGGTGACAGCTCGCGGCCGCTTAGCTGTGCTATCAGCGCACCTGGCAGCTGCGACCATCGAGCCCTATGAGTTCGGACCCGCTCTCGAGCCGCACTGCGTGTCCGCTCAGAACATGGTACCACCGCCCGGGAACCTCCGGGGACCTTTGACCATCGTCGACGAGAGGACCGGTAAGAGGTATCAGGTCCAGGTCTCTGATGAAGGAACCGTCAAGGCCACTGATCTCAAGAAGGTATAATTTTTCTAAATTATCACTCAATTTGCTAATCTGGATTATGTTTGGTTTTCAATTTTCTTATCTGGGTATTCGTTTTTTTTTTTTCAAAATTTTCTTTGCTGGTGTTTCTGTTTGGTTGCTCGGAAAATTGCAATAAGTGGAAGGAAAGTGAAAATTTTTGTGATGGGTTTTCTGTGTTTTGAATTCGATTTAAGTTAATGGGAGAAAAATTGGTTCTTGTTAATATGCAGATCACAACAGGGAAAAATGACAAGGGGCTGAAGCTGTATGATCCAGGATATCTTAATACCGCCCCGGTTCGATCCTCCATTTGTTATATCGATGGCGACGAGGGGATTCTTAGATATAGAGGCTACCCAATTGAGGAATTGGCTGAGAATAGTACCTTTTTGGAAGTGGCCTATCTCTTGAGTAAGTACCCTCACTTGGAATTGGCCTAGTTGAAGTGAAGGTTTTCTTCTTCAACAGGAATATATACCATTACTTTGAAAACCATGTGAAGAATTTATACAACTAAAAAAAGTTCTGCGTAAAGCGGGAGCCTTGTGCACTGGGTACGACCTTTTTAGGGGTAGTCTCTCCATGTCTTTGTCATATATTCCATTTCCGTATCTCATTTTGAACTACTTTGCTTTGTCATTGCCCCTTCTCTTCTCCAGTGTATGGGAATTTGCCTTCTGAGAGTCAATATGCGGATTGGGAATTTGCCGTTTCTCAGCATTCAGCTGTACCGCAGGGAATTTTGGTACATTTTCTTTCTGATCTTCTTATAGGAATCCTGTGATTATCCTTGGATCACAATATTGGAATTTTCCATGTGATTAACTACATATCACCCTTTTCTTCATATAATAGAGATTTTAAATGTATCTTCTAATAATCATGCTACAAATACATATACGCTGTTCCTCTGGACTCATGAGTCATGGAGGTTTTTTGCCTTGCAGAAATGCATGAGTAAAATTTAATAACTTTGATTAACTTTTTTTTATTGTTAATTTGAGCCTTTTACACAATTGTCTCTTTTGTATTTGTAGGACATTATCCAGGCAATACCTCATGATGCACATCCAATGGGCGTACTTGTGAGTGCGATGAGTGCTCTTTCCGTTTTCCATCCTGATGCTAATCCTGCTCTCCGAGTAAGTTTATTCTTATTGGCTCTTTGCTGAACATGAATTTTGTCAGTCTTAGTTACTAAAGGGGTCCATTGTTCGATGCATTATATCATATCTGATCATATATTTTTATTGATAACATAGGGGCAAGAAATTTACAAATCGAAACAAGTGAGAGACAAGCAAATAGCACGCATCCTTGGGAAGGTATGCTTATTTTTGTTCTTTACTTGGACTTTCAGCCTGAGAAAATGTCGTGTGAATGTTATATATGCTTCCATTCTTTAGGTTGTCCAACTTATGCAGCCATGTACTAGCCATTTGAGTTGTATCCCCTCCTTTTTCAATTCTCAACCGATACACTCCAAACAAACATCCCCCTTGACCCCGGCCTCTGCCTCTTTCAGGCGGTGATAGCCATAACCTTCACCTACCACGCCTCTCCAAGAACCCATTGTTCAGGAATTGATAGGCCTATATAATTAATTGGGATACTTCCCCATAAGAACCAAGGGAGGCGACCTCCACCTTCACCTCCACAGCCTATAGCTACTGTCTTTCTTTTAGGTCTCTATCACTTATTTGGAATGATTAAGTTGGTATTAAATCGTTATTCTATTTCCAGGCACCAACAATTGCAGCAGCAGCTTATTTGAGATTGGCTGGAAGACCTGCGGTTCTCCCTGCTAACAACCTTTCTTATTCAGAGAACTTTTTATACATGCTAGATTCCTTGTATGTTATACTTTTACTCCATGTATGCATTTTACTGCATAACTTTCCAAATCATCTTTGGCAATCTTTTTTCCCTCTTCCCTGACGTTGCCTTTGCTGTTCTATAAAGTATATGCACTCTTCTTCTGTTTTAATTATGTAGAGTGATAATCATTGTGGAAAAATGAAATTTGTTCTCCCTCTAAACTGATTAAGGCGGGTTTCTATGTGCAAATCTACAGAGGCAATAGATCTTACAAACCGAATCCCCGACTGGCTCGAGTGTTAGATGTTCTCTTCATATTGCATGCAGAACATGAGATGAATTGCTCCACAGCTGCTGCCCGGCATCTGGCATCAAGGTAGGCATCTTAGAACCTGATTGAAATGATTCAATTCCGTTTTATAACATGTCTGGCCCTTTATGTGCAGTGGTGTAGATGTTTACACTGCTCTTGCTGGAGCTACAGGAGCTCTCTATGGCCCTCTTCATGGCGGAGCAAATGAGGTATTTTCAATGGTCCATGTTCTCATTTATTTAAGCATTTTCCTCACTCATTTCTCATGCAAACAACTGGAAGAACACTTTTAATTTGAAATAATATACTTGAGATTTTCTATTCATTAATCTTCTCGTGTTTAATTTTGCAACTAAAGTTTCTTTTTTGTTGCTGCCTGGATTATTGCAGGCTGTGCTGAAGATGTTAAATGAGATTGGAACTGTTGAGAACATTCCAGATTTCATAGAGGGTGTGAAGAACAGGTATTTAATTTCCTATATCTTGGTACTTCAGTCTGGGGAACAGGATTCATAGTGAAAGATTTATTTATCAAACTGAGCTTTTGGTTCTCCCTTCAGGAAGCGAAAGATGTCAGGTTTTGGGCATCGCGTGTACAAAAACTATGATCCTAGAGCAAAGGTCATAAGGAAATTGGCAGAGGAAGTATTTTCCATTGTTGGAAGGGATCCTCTGATTGAGGTGCATTTCTAATACACCTAAAAATTAGGAAACGCAGGAGAGAAAGCTTAATGAATAAGCACAACTTAAATTTGATGGAATTCTTAAGGTTTGAGTGCATCTATCCTGATTCCTATGTCATTTGCAGGTAGCTGTTGCTTTGGAGAAGGCTGCACTTTCAGATGAGTATTTTGCTAAGAGAAAGCTGTATCCAAATGTTGATTTCTACTCTGGATTAATCTACAGGTACTTCTCATTACTTTTCATACGAAGTAAGATTAAGTTTACTTTGCCGAGCTTGTAACTGTGAAGATGTATTGACTTCCATTAATCAGGGCAATGGGATTTCCAACGGAATTCTTCCCGGTTTTGTTCGCGATCCCTCGAATGGCTGGGTGGTTGGCACACTGGCGAGAATCCCTTGATGATCCTGATACTAAGATCATGAGACCCCAACAGGTTAGTTCCTTGCTCATACTCGAGTTTGCTTGTTCATGTGCAATTTTGGTGTTTCTATTAAAATTGCTGATACGTCTGTGTTCATCCCATTTCTTATTTTGCCAATCTTTGTGATTATTCAGGTGTATACTGGAAACTGGCTGCGCCACTACATACCGCCAAGAGAACGCATAGTACCAGGTGATGTAGACAAGCTCTCTCAGGTTTCTGTATCAAATGCCTCTAGGCGTCGTCTGGCCGGAACTGGTGTTTAGGCACTCAGTCCGAATTGTGTGAGACTTCACAGAAATAAAAATAAATTTCACAATATACCTAGGGGAGAAAGAAGTATCTTTTCATCTTTCTGTAAATTATGCCTTAAGTGAAAGCACAAGAGTTGCGGAGGCTTGTAGGTTAGGCATTATGTAGCGAAAATAACGACACTTTTGGTGGTGTTGAATTCTGAAATTTCCAGTCGGTCATCTGGTTTAATGTTATGTACGATTTTTAACTCAGTAGTCCTCAAATGGATATAGAGTTCTTTCTTATATATTTTTGGATTTTTCGTTAATACTTCGCATCATTGGATGATACGGAATGAATGCCTAAGATTAAGAATAGAAGATCTAAACAAATTTGCAAATCAAATCTAATGGCTAAAATAGCTGTAATATTGAATGATGCGCACCATTGTTGTTTGTGTTTTTCTTTCTTATGACAGTCAAGCAATTAGGCATCTTTCTATCTAAAAAGGCATGTATGAGTCCTAGAACGCTACTGTACTTGGTTTTGCATTAAGTCTTTCATTAGCCTCAAGTACTCTATATCTTTTTTCAAAGTCTCTTTCTAAGTTTTTCTCTACCCCTTTTATCCTAAGTCGCTATCTCATGTAGCATTTGTTAACCGGAGCATCTGTAGATTTCAAGTCACACTCAAGTTTGAATTCATTCTATAAAAAACAAATAGACAAATAATATCCCCTTCAATCTTTTTTCAAATATGGCACATATAATTTTGATTAGCCCATTTGACATCGATAGTTTCAATAGTTTAAGCCTTCGAGACACTAGAACACCAACCTCAACAAATGGCTCAGTGGCAAGGGTTCATATTTTGATTTCTAAAATACAAAAAACAAGGAGGTCCCACGTTCGAGGCTTCAAACTGGTGAGTTTACTTGACTGTGGCCAAAGAGAGGCTGAAATCTCTTTGAGTCTTCCCAGTCCTCGGAAGTGGTGGATAACCGTGGCTTGCCATCAGTTGTCATCTTTTTTATAGAAAAATAAATAAAAAGATACCCTAGAACACCTCCAGAATATGACTAACCAAATATGATACATGTTTTTTGTTTGGACAATGAGATATTTTGAGAACAAGTAAATAAGCATACGACTGTGACTAATTGAGCTAACCTACAACCCGAGATAATATGATATATATATATATATATTAATTGCATCAATATGTTTACATTGCAGAGAGAAATTTGAGCTAAATCACACCATAAGTCAGCTATAAAAAAAAAAAAATAGTACTAAACCATTGTACTTAGCATATAGTTCATGCTTTTTTTTCTTCTTTTTTTCTCTTATTCTCCCGTGCCTAATTAAAGCGGGAAACCACTTTGGACCGGACTCCATTATAAACCCGAATACGGAAGATCCGAAATCCATTAATACACGAGAAGACAAGTTTGGGCCGCTGACACATACACAAACAATACCCGAACAAATCCATCAATCTTTTTTTTTTTTTTTTTTTTACATTTGAACTGCTCGCTCCATAGACCTGACCTCTCTTTCTTCCACTCACCGGCGGCCTTTCGATCCGGCGATACCTCTTCCCGCCATTAGCTGAGGCCGGTAACACCAGGTCTGATTTCTCATCTATATATTGCACTTCTGTTCTCCTTTGGTTGTTGTTTCACTCTGATTTGGATCTACGATGCTTATTTGCTTTGGATTTTGTTTGTTTCCTCGGAAAATCATGGAAAATATGTTAAAACCCAAATTGAAAGACTTGGAGTTTAGTTATTGTTGTTTTGCAAAATCATAAATTTGAATGTGATCTCGATTTTTAGCATCTGGGTACACACAGAATCAGGGGATTGTGATCAAATCATGAAGAAATTTTGACATGGACTGACCCCATACAGTTGTATTGGGATTGATTGATCATAGGTTAGCTTCATAAGGTGCAACTTCACCTGGAATTTCAGTTCCAGCCCCTCAGAATCTTTCATTCTCTTCCAGCCCTTCTCTTGTCTCTCATTTTTTTCTGTCATTCACTCCCTAGTCAAGAACCGTGCGAAATGGCATTCTAGGATTCATATAGCCGACTCCACTTAGTGGGAAAGGGCTTTGTTGTTGTTGTTGTATTCATTCCCTAGTCACTCCTCGGCGATATCCTAGCACACACAGTTTCGGTTAAGAGTTGAATGTACGGGTTTCAAACTTTTTCGCCCGATTTGTTTGATCTGTAATGCCTCCTGTTAGCGTTTGTTATTGTGGGTTCGCTGAAGATTGTTCTAGTTTGGTTCTGCTGTCGGGTTAGATTCTGTAGATATATTGAAGATTTACTTCTCAGGATTGTAATTGTGACACTGTTTCTGTTTCGATCTCTGATGCTGTAGGCATTTGACAACAGGAAGATACTAGTTTTCTATACTCGGCTTTGTTTTGTCTACTTCTGTTTACAGAGGTTATGCCATGTCGTGATTTTGTATATATTTCTTACCGGAAAAAGAAATTCACTCCTAGTGGTTTTATGTTTAATGGATTGGGGACGGTTGGACATTTTAGGGTCCAGAAGTAGTGTGAAGTTTTTATAGGCATACCTATCAAAACAAGTCTTCGTGTTATGGGTGTAAGGTTACTAGGGAGGCTGTATGTTTTCCTTCAAATTAAGTTTGAGGAGATTTGCGTGTGTTTCTGTTATTAATTGCATCCTCTTGAGCGAGGAGGTTTTTATTATATATATGATGTTTTTACTTGCATTTTGCTATGCACTAATTGTTTACTTGCTTTTAAATGATATCCGCGAACCCTGCTTATGTATATTCTTCTTGGCTTAGATCTTTGTAATCATGTCTGGCCAAAGCCAACGGTTGAATGTAGTTCCTACCGTTACTATGCTTGGAGTTATGAAAGCTCGCCTTGTTGGTGCAACAAGAGGTCATGCTCTCCTGAAGAAGAAGAGTGATGCTTTAACAGTGCAGTTTCGTCAGATTCTTAAAAATATTGTGTCGACCAAAGAATCCATGGGAGATGTCATGAAAGACTCCTCCTTTGCCCTTACTGAAGCCAAGTATGTTGCTGGCGAGAACATCAAGCACATTGTTCTCGAGAATGTCCACAATGCCACTATTAAAGTTCGATCAAGGCAAGAGAATGTTGCTGGTGTAAAGCTCCCAAAGTTCGACTATTTTACTGAAGGCGAGACCAAGAACGACCTCACTGGATTGGCAAGAGGTGGACAACAGGTCCAGCTCTGCCGTGCTGCTTATGTGAAAGCAATCGAGGTTCTCGTGGAGCTTGCTTCACTTCAAACATCATTTTTAACCCTTGACGAAGCAATCAAGACCACAAACCGTCGTGTCAATGCTCTGGAGAACGTTGTGAAGCCTAGGTTGGAGAATACAATAAGCTATATCAAGGGGGAGTTGGATGAGCTCGAAAGAGAGGACTTCTTCAGGCTGAAAAAGATACAGGGTTATAAGAAGCGAGAAATTGAGAGACAAATGGCAGCAGCCAGGAACTTTGCCAACGAGCAGGTTGCGGAAAAGTTATCGCTGAAGAAGGGCATTTCCCTAAATTCAGCTCAGAACTTGTTGTCTGCGAAGAAGGACGACGACATCATTTTCTGATTCGGATGCTAGTTGTATATGCTTGTGCTTAGGATGTGTGATTCCGATCATGCTCCTTCGTTCTGCAGAGGAATTCTATTAATATTTAGCCGGACGGTCTTATATTCCGAATAAAGCTCCATTCTGTTCATGTGTGTTTCTATTGATTGTGAATTATTTGTACCAAAACTTACATCAGTTCAAGGTTTTGAAATATTTGTTGATTAGAAGATATCTGGTTTGTTGTAATTAATCCCTGCACCATTTATTCGGGAGGGGAGATTGGACGAACGATATTCGAGAGGAGCGATTGGACTAAGTCACACAATAAGATCATAACTAGTTATCAAACTCAACACAAGTAATACATGTCCCTACATACACGTGAGTTGAATCAAAACTCCTCACTTGCAAGTAAATAGGAATATCATTTTATTGTAGTTAGAAATGAATTGCTAATGCTGAGAAAGTTTCAGAAAGGGGTGGCCATCAAGGAACGGGATCTCTCCGGATCCTTTCCACCAAATCCAACAATTCAGGCTTTTGAAATTTAATCCAACAACTAAAAACATGGAGCCCTTTTAAAAGTTATAATAACTTTAGCCGTTGGATCAAATTTCAAGAGCCCGGATTGGTGAGGAAGAGATCCGGAAAGAATCCCTTTCCGGCCGCCAATCAGACTCAACCCCAATTTTAGACTAGGGGTAAATTTCGCAGTGTCTCCTCAACTTTTGACCTTTTAAAACGTGCTTATTTGCACCAACCGCCAAATTCATCACACTTCCCGTTTGTTTCCCGTCACTAAACGGGCGAAAAATTGTCATATTTCAAAAGACTCGGGCTCAGAACCAAATTGAAAGTCTAGAGGAAAAATCGAAACAAGGTACCAAAGTAGTGCGATCCCCCATTCTAGGGGCATTGCTAAAACAAATGACCAGCTGAATATCTAACTTAAACCGGCTGGTGGTGTTTGAGCTGCTACTGATATGAGGGTTAGAAATGAAAAGAATTGCAGGAAAATACACATCTTCAAGGGAAAATGAAGGCACAATAACATTATGGGGTATCGTTCGTCACTGATGTGAAATATTACTACGATGGAAGATGATTGAAAGACAATCAAAGAAATAAAAAACAAAAACGATTCTTACTGATTGACACAATTGAAACGAGGACCACTGAAACGCCCAAGCTAAGAAGATTGAAGCCACCATGATTTCTTAGAAATCGAGCCACACTTCAATAGACATGAGTTGCAGAACTCAACGAGTATTCCATCTGACACCCTTGTCTTCACAGATGGCAATATTCAGAAAGGGAGGCGCTTTGGGGGCCTGATTGGTTTAGAACTTGAAGCTGAAGCTTTCCCAGAAAACGCATCTGGCCTCTTCACGGGAGGAGCACTGTATATACAGGGTAGATATGATCAGGGCAGGAGGTGAGTTTATACGTAGTTTTGTTAACTACAGGAATAGAACATCCAGTTTATCCGAAATTTTACCTGTAACTCTTCTGGAGTGCATTTCTCTTCATTGCTGCCAGATTTTTCACCTCATTACTGCTCAAAGGAAAAGGACAGAGGAGAAAGAGGTTAATATCTTGAAGGTCTATCTCATCAAGACTAATCAAGTACCCAACATCTTTGAACATAGCTTCGAGATAAGTATCAAACCATTTAATGATTTGCTAAATACGATATAAGAAAATTAAAACAACAAAGTAAAAGGAAAACTCGAGGGTATAATTTCAGTTCACAAGCCCAAGGTGCATGTGACATGCCATACCAGGCATCATTCTCAAATACATATTACCTTTTCAGAAAATCTAGTTTCGCCTTCTTCATCAAGTTGCTCTTTCCAGTAACATTGTAGCCAGGCCCATTGCCTACAAAGAATTATCAGAAATGAAACAGTTAATTGTTCATCCTATTTAATAATGTATTAGTCTTAGATAATCTAAAAGAGAACAGAAAAATTTACCCCAGCTTCTTTTATTGCTTGATGGTGGAACCTTTGTGCAAATTTGAACTTGCCGACTTTGTTTTCCTACAAAATTTGAATGGTTAGTAAGGTTAATCACGTATAAATCAGCATGCTGTTGTTCAGTTTGCTATAACACGCTGAGGAGGTGAACTTACGAGCATTTGCCTCTTGATATCGACTCTTCAACTTGTCAGCCATTAAATTTTCAGCCATATCAACTTCCTTTAACTTTGCCTGCAAGTGATACCATTAATTCTTTATCTTTTTTCCCTTATAAGTTATAAGAACAAGCATAAATCGGATCCAGAAATACTACATCAAGTACCCAAAATTAATGGGATTTGACTACGGAAACTAAAAGAAAACAATTTTGGTCAGACAGCTTGAGGAGAGTAGCAAACGCACCTCATACAATTGTATCCACCTGAACGCAACTTTCTTTTGCTTCATCCTTTCAATCACCTCATTCACCCTCTTAGTACCAAATTCCTTTTCATAGAATTTCTTCCACAACTTATCAGTAATTGGAGTCAAATCTCTACCCTACAAGAATTAATTTAAAAACATTTCAGAACTTGTACTTACGGATCACAAAAAACATTCAAATAAGAACAATCTGGATCAACTTACTTTGGTACTCTTCTCTACATGCATCAACTGGTCCACCGTACAATGTGGTAGAATTCTCTTGAGAAGATGAGAATCGGTTTCACCAACATCCCCAAGGCGCCTTAAATTATCTATTGCTGTGTTAATGCACAGATCAACCAAAGATGGCGCTATTGCTTGCCCTTCATCACTTGAATAATCCTCATCCATATTGCCCGGTCACTTTCTAACCCGGTAGTGTCCCTAAGATCAATACATTAAGCAGCAAATTAAAATTTTACATCATCGTAAATACTTATTTGAAGTAGTAAGTATTCTGCATTGAACAAATAGAACTCATCTACACAGAATTTCCAGGATTTCAAGCAACCCGAAAAGGGTGTTGCTCGAAATCCTGGAAATTTATGAAGTTAAACCCATTTTTACTTATGGCAGATTATAGGATTTATCATGTATCATCACCAAATATACAAATTCAACAAAAAAGATTAGAACTTTTTCATCATCATCCCAGATGCTCAACTTTTAACTCATGCAACTTTGACCACTAGTTGGATTCAGCTGAATCCATAAATCCCACTCAGTTTTCTTAACAATCCATCATAAAAAATAAAAATTATCCAATGAATTACAGAAACAAAACAGAATCAGTACAAGATCAAACCTTTAGCTATTAATCTGATTAAATTGGAAAATAAAATTAAAAAAAAAAAAACCATCTAACTCAAACTTATCAACGGAAATCCACAGCTCAATCCGATAATACCCAATCGCAATTTCGAAATAAGAAGAAAATATATGAATTGACAAATAAATTGGTTTCAGAGGGACTCAACGAGTGATCGGATACGGGAGGAGGCCGATTGACGAAGGTGAATTACAGGTTTAAATTTAATTGAATAAAGATATTAATTAATTAATATGGAGTAAGAGATTCGCTTTCCCTTTTTGTGATCCTTTGTAATAAAAGGCAACTTGCGCTAACTTGCGCGGCGCGTGCCAAGTTTAGCTGGCGGGACTCGACATTTTTGTCCAGGAGAAGATGATTGAGGATCATCTCCGGATCCTCTTGGGATCCTAGGGATCTTTTTTTTCTGTAGGGATTCTAGGATCCTTTTTACGATGATGATACGGATCCTCACATTCTAACCGTTCAATTTATATTATGTGATCAGTTTTATCAAGTACTATTTGTCTTTAATTTTAAATAAAAAATTAAATAAATTATGATCGTACGATATACGATGAATAATTAAATTACGAGGGTTTCTAAAATCCTCACAATTTGGACGCCGATAGAATCCAAATCTGGAAAAGAGAGGGATTCCGGGGCTTGGGTCTTCTTTAACATGTCAGCACAAAACAGGTCCCCCAATAACAACTTAACGGCACACATAACAGCCAAACAGACTTGAGGCTTAAAATGATGAAATTTATAAACTTTAGGGCGTAAATTGACAAATCAAAAGGTCGTGGCCTATTTTGATAAACACCCCGAATCTCAGGGATGTAAAATGCACTTTGCCCCTTTGTTTTCGATGCATAACAATCGTTCATTAGACAAGTAACGCAATTTTTGCACACAGTACATGTGAGTGTGTGACAGATATTTATTCACGGTAACGTCACTGGGAATAAATCATGACTGCACGAAAAAAAGCAAGTAATCTGTGTGTTGTTGCAAACTCATAACTTTCCTCATTTATATTGTAAATAGATCACCAAAAATCATTACTAATACGACCGGTTTAATTAACAATTACGGTCTAAATTAAACCAAACCAGCCAGGTTCTGATCAATTCTAACTAATCGATTACATTTCCAAAAACCACTTTCAGTTGAGCACATCGACATCGATCCCGGGAGTAGCTAGGATGTGAGCTCATCTGCTATCAATGGAGGAACAAAATTGCAATTCTGCAGAGTCTGCTCAAATATATGACCCACCTTAAGCAACTTTCCCTGCAAAATCGACCAGAAAAATCTTAAAATCAACAATCAGATACTCAACTCCACAATCCCGTACTTTTCATTAATTCGGTGACTCTCCATTCCGTGTCTAGTCTAATCTGTAAATGTAGCAACTTTTACTCATTTTCAGTATGTAAACGCTAGAAAAGCTGAATACTAATTCCTGATAGAAATCAACATGTCGCAATGTAGTAGGTAGGTAGAAAGGTAATACCTCGTCAAATGCTGCACCGATCATTTGAAGACCAACAGGAAGGCCTGCAGAACCCCCCTCAACAAATCCACATGGCAAAACCAGTGCAGGTAGACCTGCCAAGTTAACATTGACCTGCATACAGAATCAAGCGGAACAGGTTAGAGTCAATTAGTCATCTTATGAGTAGAAACTACATGACAGGAAATAAAAGTTTTAAAGGAGGACAAGCACTTATGCAACGTAGAGCTTAAGAAACAAGAACCAACAGCGTGTGCCACCGAATGCCCCCAAAATGAGATCTCAGACCACTTTAAACTTCTCACTACAAACTCCAGAAACAAGGGTGTGACATTTAACCATCTACTCTTTCGAAAGACAACAAAATTGCGAGCACAAAATGGAACTGTAGGACAGGTTGAAGTGCATGTGTCAAAAGTGCGACTATTAACTACAGAAATAAAGGCCTTATACTCCGCCACACACTAATATGACCACAGCATTTTTTTTTTTTTCTGAAACAAAATCTGAACAATTTTCCAGCAGATTACAACATGGTACATGGGCAAGTATCTAACATTACATTGATGAATGCATATTCAACATCATGACTCAATTATCAACTCCTAGGACACACATAGACTGTCCATGCATGCAGCTAATGAACAGAAATTAAGAAATTTGGGCACTCAGAGAAAGTGAGAAGGTTCTTACAGTCATTATGTCACCTGCATACATTGCTAGAGGATCATTTTTCTTTTCACCTGAATAAATACAAGTAAACGGGTGAGTTACTGAAAAATCATAACATATGAAAAGCATACATATCCGTGGAAACCGGCATACCAATCTTATAAGCAGCAGATGGAGCCGCAGGTGAAATTAAGATGTCATGTTCATCTAGTGCTGCCTTGAAGCTTTTCCGAATTATAGTCCTCACCTAAAACACTATAAGAATCATTAATGCCATCTTGAACACCCTAATTGATAGGATTAAGCATCTCAGAACATAACATAGTGTAGTAACCAAGAATGAATTACTAGAATGCAAACAAAAATATAGATAATAGGATAAACTTCTCCCACCAAAAGTCCCTTTTAAATTAACACCAACATCATGGTACCTGCTGGGCGCGCTTATAATATGCATCATAATAACCAGCTGAAAGGGCATATGTTCCCGTTAGAATTCTCCTTTTAACCTGAAAACAATAAAGGCATTAAATCAACTCACCAACTGGTATAAGTCTGTAAAACCAAATTAAGAAGAAATAATAAAAAAACTAGATCAAGTGCACTGCAGCAATGTTCCAACTAATAGAAACTTCATAACAGTTGTAAGTTTCAACCAGCCACCTAGACATAGTGTACCTCAGAACCAAAGCCCTTGGCTCGGGAATCCTTATATTGTGAGTTCAACTCATCAGCAGCAACATGGTTTCCATACCTGGATATGGAGGAAAAACAAATAATAACAAATGTAAGCATATTCGTCATTCTGATATACCATCTCAAGTTTTATGAATACAATTAATAACTTGTCATCTTTATTCACGGTGGATCTAAACAAGCTTCTCCTCACCCATTTTCTCTTCTCCCATTTAAATATACAAATGAATAAACTTATTTATACATCAGAACAAACTTCTGGGTGAATTACCTGACACCATCATAACGTGATAAGTTTGAAGATGACTCAGATGAAGCAAGAATGTAATAGGCTGGCAACCCAAGTGAGAAAGATGGTAATGAGACCTGCAAGTTAATGTTTCAAGAATAAATGAATCAAGACATAAGAAGGGTACACATGACATTTTGGAGGAAGGAACAGATATGAGCAACTAAAGGAAAAATTATTGATAGAAGGACCTCGGTTACGGAACATCCTAATTCTTCAAGATGCAAAGCAGCACTACGAACTGCAGAAGTTACTGCAGTATCAACACCACCATCCAGAGTTTCCTGGATCAGACCAATTCTCAATCCTTTAAGAGGTTTAGAAATTGTCGAACTTATGGAAACAAATTCAGCTGCAAGGTCGGGAACCTCCTGAAAGGAGAAATTAAAATGTATGCGTCAAGCAAATAATTGTGATATTAGTCCTTACTAGTCTTCACATAAAAGGACCAAAAGTTTGTTAAAAAAAATTCAGAGTTCACTTTCAGGATACGTAATGAGAAGATAAGGTGGTTTTATAAAATCAAGACTTAGAAAATTTTCTTACACGCTTGCTGCTGGTTGCATCAAGTCTATCATGACCAGAAATTGCCTGAAGAAGAATCCCAGCATCAGCAACAGACGTACCAAAGCAGCCAATGACATCAAGCGACGACGCATATGCCATAAGTCCGAATCTCGAGACGCGCCCATACGTGGGCTTCAACCCAACAACACCACAAAAAGATGCTGGCTGCCTCACACTTCCACCAGTATCACTTCCCAACGACACCATGCACTGCCTAGCAGACACAGCTGCAGCGGAGCCTCCCGATGACCCTCCTGGCACCCGAGACACGTCCCACGGGTTTGCAGTCACCTAATGAATGAACAGATGCACCACCTGAGTAAACCAACCCCAGTTACGAGTGCGAAACATAAGGAAACGAACTTACACAACCTCACTCCCCTTGACTCAGTGTCTTACTGGTAGGAATACTAAGAACCAAACTGTTTCACTACCCACAATAAAAATTCAACTCTCAATCTAAGGACATGTTTGGTACTCTACTTGAATCCAACTTTTCAAACTCAAAAACAATTTTCTAGTTTTAGGCCTTAAAAACTTGTTTGGTAGGACTATTTTAAAAAAATGAACTCAAAACTAATTAAAAAATATAGTCTATTCTCTACAAACATAAAAAGTGAGTTTTTTGAGTTTTTAAACTTAAACCCACTCCTTTATTTTCTCTCCCTCCTCCCCTCTCACTTCAAATCTATCTCTCTCTTTTCTTTTTCTCTCATCTTTTTTTTAACCTTTTTCGTCTATCCTCCAATCTGCTCTCTTCATTCTCTCGGATCTTTCTCTCACTCCTCTTTCCCTTTATCTCGTCTGATCCTCTCTCTTCTTTCCCTTTCCTTCAATCATGTCTTACTTTCTTTCCTCATCTCTCCTCTTTCTCCCTCTCCTCTCTTTGTCTAGTTTAAATCGCAAACCAATCAAGTTTTTGAATCTTAAAAAAAATTATTTTTAAGAAATGTTCTTAAGAAATGTTTTGAGAAATGATAAAAAAATTTCAAATAGGATACCAAAAGCCCTAAAAGTTCCATGAAACACTAAAATTAACTTCCTTAATATCCAACTAAAATTTCACTACCATCAAGTTCTCAATTTTTCATTAAAAGTTATTAACTTTTTATACATTTACACAAAAATAAAATAACAAGAACGAAAAATGCACAGAACCCAGAAAGCAAATTGATAAAAGAACCAAAACCCAGAAGAGAAAAACCTGAAATGCAGAGCCTTCAGTGGTGCTACCCATGCCAAACTCATCCAAATTGGTCTTTCCCACCACAATCCCACCCAGCTCTTTAATCTTCCTGACGGCAGTGGCGTCGTACGGCGGCGTATAGCCCTCCAGAACACGAGACCCAGCGGTTGACGGCATCTCAGCCGTGCAGATATTGTCCTTGACGGCGACAAGGACCCCAGCCAGGGGACCCAACTCCTCATTCCTCTGAATCTTCTCGTCGAGCTCGCGGGCTTGAGCGAGGACCGAGTCGGAGACGTGGAGGAAGGACCGGAGGTGGGGCTCGGTGAGGCGGAGGCGGGCGAGGAAGGAGTCGGCGAGTTGGGTGGCGGTGAGGTGGCGGGAGAGGAGGGAGTGGCGGGTGGAGAGGATTTGGGAGTGGGGGAGTGGGTTTGGGGAGCAGGGTTGGTCAGTGAGGGTGGAGTGGGTGACGGGCTGTGAGGATAAGGAGG